TTAATTAAAAGAAAAAAATTTTTAAGCAGAAAGAAAAACTTGTAAATAGATCAAGGTCTGATTTTTTATCTCTAGGCGTGTCCTTCAGGACCATTGGGGTACCATGCTCTTTCCCCCGAATCTGTCCTTTATACTCCCTCAAGGCTCTCTACTCTGCTCCCACGGTTGCTTTACCGCACACTTTTTGTGGTTTGCCTCCGTGTCTCAGAGTCAGTCTGGGCCAGTTCTGACACTGAGTCTCCAGTATTGTCCCCCTTAGAGCCCGGGACCATCAAGGGACGGTGTGTCTTGTGGGATCAGCCATATCGTCCACTCTGTCCACTGGCTGTTCAGAGCGGGGATGTCGCCCTCCAGGCCTGGTGGGTCAGGATGTGCTCCACTCTCTTCCTCCTAAGTGCTCCCATTTGCTCTGATCAGACATGCACCTCTCCCCTAACTGCAGCTTCATTGTCATCCTCTCAAGTAGCTTCTTCTGGGGGGAGGGGCTGTTGTCTACATAAGTGGCATGGGGGCCGCAAGGCAATCTTAAAGAACGGAATACGTAGCATTCCAGTCACACATAGCCCAGCCAAACAATTCTATGAAACTGCACTTTTACTATGTATGAGACAGTCTGAAGTTTTCTATTGTACTGATGGTTATTAAGTTGATTTCACAGCACACTAATACATTGAGCTCAACCTGCCACTTGAAACACGATCTTGGGGAAATGTGTTAGGTGACTCACTTGGGTGACTCACTGGGAGTTGGACTTAACATTTTTACTTAACAATGTTAAGTAAAAAAACCCTACCTGGGCCCTGTGTAACCAAAGACTATAGCTCTAATACTGCAAAGATGTAACTTGCCCTACTTTCATTTATCTGGATTTCCCCTGCAGTGATTTGTAGAAAATGACTTCTAAGTGGTAGATTTTTAAAAAGATTCTTGGTAGTTTGTGGTTATTCTTCATGGCAAGAATCATTTTAACTTCCTTGCTTCAGTTACCCAAGGTACATGTGAAATTAAAAATAACACTGGGTGACTTCTGTATTTCTGCATAGAATGGTATGTGTTTCTATTTAGTGCTGAAACCACTGTGAGTTATCCAGCAAACCACTAATTATGAGAAGTGTCTCATACTGAGTGACACTTTGTACTATAGTGGCCATTATTTTATTCAAAGAGAAATAACTTATTTTACTGGTTAATATCTTGTGTAAAAATGTGTTTTTCTAAGTCTTACTGTAAATCAGGATTCAGTAATCGAGGTTCAGAGTAGCCATCTATTGGAAGACATCATCCAATGAGAGGGACCATTAGCATGCGGTCATAATGGTGTCCAAGGGTTTTCTGAGTCAGGGACTTAAAAAGGACATGCACAAAAGCGTGATGGGCTGTAAATCAGTGCGCCAGAGTTTGGGGTAGGAATGGGGCCAGGAATAGGGCATATTAGAAGAGCTGAGGAGACTCCTATGTCACTCCAGTATGGTAATCTCTATCAAGGACTCACCCAGGCAAGCCCCCAAGGGACACTGCCCCTCTATAGGTTGGCCAGTAGAGGGAGGATGGTTATCCACCTTCTGAGACACTCAGGGCAAGCCTGTTCAAGCCCTGTGCAATGGTCAGAATTCTGTAGAGGCTTAGTCCATCTGGGCACTCACCAAATTAATTTGGGGTTTTCACTGTTATCATTAACCTGCAAACTCAGTGCTCAGAATTTAAGCTCTAATATGGAGTTTAGAAGAATTCTTGATCTGGTGAATATTGATTGTATTAGTGCCTAAAATCAAAGCACCTCCTGCCAGAGCCCATGTTTCACCTTAAACCTTAAAATAGCCGTAATGCCATCTTGAGCACCCCACATTTCATTTTCTGACCACTCAACTTCCACGGTGAAGTCAGAGGGCCAGGGCGTGGTAGCCCTGAGCAATCTTCTAAGTAATCCTCAGAAGGCAGGGAGTAGCTGTTTTCCTATGAGATAGAGAAAAGTTGGAGCACTCAAAAAAGGTAGCCTTGAAGAGAATTCCCCTCAAGATATGACAGAATCTCACTGCCATTAAATCCATTGTGACTCAGTGACCCTGCAGGACTGTAGAACTGCCCTTGTGGGTTTCCAAGACCAAATATTTACAGGAGTAGTTGTGTTGAACTGCTGAAATCACTGACCTTGTGATTAGCTTAAGGAGTCAACCTTTACCACATCTGGGCTCATAACTAAGACACGTAAATAGAAGAAAGCTATCTCCTTTGTTCTCAGTTCTGGTCTAATGGACCCCTCCTGTCTTAGCTACAAAAGCTTTTACTAAAGTTCTTTGCAGAAGTTACAGTTTATGGTTAGCTTATTTATTGGAAGAATCACCACTAACTGTCTATAAACAGCTAAGCCTGTTTCCCACCTCTCTTTTCTCTTTATCACATATGCCAAATAGTATTTTCTTTCCTCACTTATATCAGGAGGAACCCTGATGGCTAACTGGAAAGTCATCAGTTTGAAAAAATCAGCCAGTCCTTAGGAGACAGACAGAGCTTTCTACTCCCATAAAGAGTTACAGTCTCAGAAATCCACAGCAACAGTCGGCATCAATGCCATGGCAGTGAGCAGCAGCTCATGGTTTGACTTTGAGAAAGATGAGGTTTTCCACTCCCGTAAAAGTTACTGTCTGAGTAAGTGTGCACCTCTGGCAACCCTGGTTTCATCCTAAACATTAATACTAGTTCAAATGCCATCCTAGTACCCCATATTCACTTTCTGACCTCTAAACTGACTTAAAGTAGAGTCCAAGGAGACAGGAAAGGGCAGTGGCGATGTCCTTGGTAATCCTGGCTGCAGGGAGGAGCCTGTTTATAGGAAAGATAGATGAAGAAAATAGTATAAACACTGAATAGACAGAAACATGAAGGATAAATGAAGGTGAAATATACACAAAGGATACGAGTAGACAAAAAGTTCTTCCTTAACACCAATATATGCAGGAGAGTCTTCTCTGTCCTCCCCACTTCTGGCCTGGTGGGTCAACAAAAGACCTCTCCTGACTTTGAAAAATTATTTTAAACAAGAAGTTTATTTGAACAAAAATGCTTGACTTCAAGGGAAAATTAGGCTTCATTTCTTTGAGAGTCATTTTCCCCTACTTAAAGATGGATTCTGTCGGCAGAATCGTGAATAATGCAGGGAGGCATCAAAAGAAGATAAGGAATACAGTCACTACTAAAAAGAGCTAGTCCCCATTCCACCATTTCGGGAGTTAGCATAGGAGCAAGGACCAGTGGTACTTAGGAAGAAGTTCAAGACACACTGTAAACATTAGCCCAAAAACAAAGCTCCAGGAATCGACGGAATATCCATTGAAATGTTTCAACGAGCCAAGGAAGCACTGGAAGCACACTCACTTGTCTGCGACAGGAAATTTGGACAGCTGCTTGGTTAACTGACTGGAAGAGACCCATATTATACTCATTTTAAAGAATGGTGACCCAACAGAATGCTCACACTATAGAAGAGTATCACTAGTATTACATGCAAGTAAAATGTTGCCGAAGATCATCCAACAAAGATTGCAGCAGAACACAAGGGAGGGAGTTGCCAGAGGTCCAGGCTGGATTCAGAAGAGGACACGGAACAAGGGACATCATTGCTGATGGCAGGTGGATCTTGGCTCAAAGGAGAGAATACCAGAGAGATGTTTATTATTTGTGTTTCATTGACCAGGCCAGAGCATTCAACTGTGTGGATCATAATGATGGATAACCTTGAGAAGAATGGGAAATCCAGAACACTTCCTTCTGATTCCAGAACACTTGATTGTGATCCTGCAGAAGGATCTTGTATGCATGGATCAAGAGGCATTTGTGCAAACAGAACAACGGAATATTGCATGGTTTAAAATCAGGAATGGTGTGTGTTAGGGATGCATCCTCTCACCAGACAGCTCTCTACTGGTGTAAAGAGTTACAGTCTTGGAAACTCACAGGGGCAAATCTATCCTGTTCAATAGGGTCACTGTAAATCTGACTTTGAGCAGGAACTGGAGTCTAGGGTGGGGCAGAACCAAGCTTCTGGAAGGTGAAAGTGCCTTTTACCTGTGCATCTGTAGGCAGTGCTTTGGTTTGGGCCTGCAAGTGGAAGGGAAAGGTGAGAGGCTGAAGATCAGAAAAAGGGGTTCTCAGAGTTTAGAAAACATGATTGTGTGCATGCAGCCCCCTGCTGGAGAACTGACAATGTTCTATGATACAGGACATTAATTCAACAAACATGCAAAGGTCTCTGTACGCCAAGAACTGAGGAGCAAAGAAAGAGGCCCTGGTGGCACCACCTGATAAGCACTGGACAGTAGTTCAAACTCACTAGCCAATCTGTGGCAGCGAGATGTGGCTGTCGACTTCCACAAAGGTTTACATACATTGTGAAAACTTTGTCTTCAGGTTGACAGCAATGGGTTTGCTGTTCATCTGTGGAAAATCAGCATTTAAAAACTAATGACAGACTGTGAAAGAATGACATGGGAAAGGGTGTCAGTTAGCTTTTGCTGTGGAGTAAAAATAGCAGAGAGGGGTCTGAACCCAGACGATGTGGCTGCCCCTCATACTGTAGCTTCATCATGAATTGACATTTTGTTCTGAAGGTTCTGGGACTTCTCCAGTAGAACATTGGAGACCTTGGTAGAAATCTTCTTTCCCCTCTTCTTTGGTGGCTATTTCAAAGGAGCATCAGAGTTAGGAGAGGTATTCAGAGTTTATGGATCCTGAGTCAACTATTTCAAACAATGTATAATCTGGGTTAGGAGGACATAGGCTCCTGTTTATGACCAGGAGCCTAAACTCAGATTTTTCAAGTTGGACAGAAACAATTGAGGAGGGCCTACATATATATATACTACCTTCCAATGTAAGTACAGGGGAATGGAAGCTTTGAACGGGCGAGAGTGAGTGTTGGGTAGCAATCAGTAGTTAAATACTAGTTTTTTGGTTATTGTTTTGTACTTTTATGAAGATTTTCTTGAAATGCAGACAGAAAATGAGACATTCTACAACAAAACCCCCACTAATTAAGCCTTTATTATTTACCGATTACTATCTTGAATAACTCTGAATCCTCACAGTACCCTTAGGATATGAGCTTATTTTACAAGAACTTCATAAAAGTCATTGCTATTGAATAGATTCTGACTCATAGTGACTATAGGACAGAGTAGTTTTCAAGACTGAGTTTCCAAGGCTGTAAATCCTTACAGGAGTTGAATGCCTTGTTTTTCTCCCATAGAGCAGCTAGTGATTTTACACTGCTAAGCTTGGGGTTAGCAGGCCAGTAGCTCATTTCGCTGCTAGCGCGCCTCAAAAATAATCTTCGCTGAAAGCCAACAGGTCTTAAAGCACTTACAGATGAAGATTAAAGATGACAGCTGTCAGTATGAATTGCATCTCAAGAGGCAAAAAGAACAAAAATCCTCACAATTGGACCATCACATGCAGAAAAATTTGAACTTATCAAGGATTTCATTGTACTTGGATCCCCAATGAGGGCCTATGGAAGCAGCAGGCAAGAAATCAAATGACAAATTGCATCAGGGGAAACTTGCAAACTATCTCTTTCAAGTGTGCTACAAAGCACAGCTAGCATCTTGAGGATGAAGGTACACCTAGCTCAACCCAGGATATTTTCAATAGCCTTATATGTTGTAAACGTTAAACAGTGAATAAGCATGATTGAATTTGTGCATTTGAATTATGGTATGGGTGAAGTATATGGAAAGTACCGTTGATTGCCAGAAAAATAAATGTTTTACAAGAAGTACAGCCAGAATGTTCCATAGATGGCAAGAAGTCGAAACCTCTCACATTCTTTGGACGAGTTATTAGAAGGAGCTCATGATGGTAAAGTAACATTCCAAAAAGCAAATTCACCGCCACGAAGTCAACTCTGACTCCTAGCGATGCTACAGAGCAGACTAGAACTCTGGTTTGGGGTTTAGAGTAGAAAGCCTGGAGTTTCTCCAGCGGAGCGGCTGCTGGTTTTCCGAACTACTGAGCTTAAGGTTATCACCGAATGTGCACCCAGGAAACCACTAGGGTCTGAGAGTAAAGGGGGTCTAGAGACCCTCAATAAGATGGACTGCGAACAGGGCCTGCAATGGCCTCCCCAGGGCAACACTTGTGAAGATGGCGCAGGAACCAGCAGCAGCGCTTTGTTTTGTTGTCCGTAGGTCGTCGTCGTCATAACTGACTCTAACACCTAACAGCAGAAAAAGAAAAGAACTAGGGATTTGGAGCAAGACTGAAATCTGGTTCCACTGAGTCATGATTTCCTACTTATAAAATAGAAATAATAACAGCTACGTCAGAGAGTATGGAATGTATTGAAATGATTATTATGAAAGCACATAGTAAAACGTTTACGCAAACGTTAGAAACTTCTCGCTACATTGTACTCCGAAATTTGGAATCGGACTGCAAGGGTAGCTAAACTCGGACTACCATTCCCAACGGGCAGATCCTTCCGCTTTCCTTTCCCGGAAACGGGCGCAAAGCCCGCTGGGAATTGTAGTCTCTCCCTGGCCCACCCCTCGGTTCGGGCAGTGAGGCGTAAGCCCCGGAAGTACTCTTGCTAGTTAGGAAAGGAGTGTCAAAGGTCGCGGGGGCACGAGACGTTCCTTTCGCTGCTCCGGTCGCTATGTAGTGGCGGGGCAGCCACTGTCTTGCAAGTTCTGGAAGATTCTTGGACTACGGCAGTAGAATTTCTAGTTGTCGGCCTCGGGTTCCTGCCCGCTCAGCGGAGCCGCTGTCGCCATGTTCGGCTGCTTGGTGGCCGGGAGGCTGGTGAGAATGGGCGGGGTGATGTCCAAGAGGGGGCGGGATAGGAGCACGGAGCTCGCGGGACTGGAGGGCGCGCCGCTGCAAGGGATGCGGGGTAACCCGCTCACGTCTGTCATCTGGCTGCATGCGTGCGGGGGGCGAGAGGGCTGCTCTCCTGTGCCCCTAACTCCATTCAGCTTCATTTGAGCAATCACAGCCTGAGCTGCCATTTGTGGCGTGCCCATTCCACACCAGGCACCGAGTTCAGTGCTGCTCAGCGCCTTTTGTCAATTATCCGTCCTTCCAGCTTTGTATACAGCCATTGTTTTGGCACCCTAAACTTAATGTCGTGAGACGGTTGTTGTCATGCCCATTGTGCGTTTAAGAACTCGAGCTCCGTCGACCGTGGGGAGTACTCGCCTAAGCGCACATGGTGAGTTAAGGTAAACCTGACAGTGCATCTCATCTGGGTCCTTTTGGAAGGACCCTGAAGAAATGGGCTTCCCGTAGTTGGAAGCTGGCCGTTGGATGCACCTGAAACGGGTTTTGAGCTATAGTTGGATCAACACCAGAAGGATAGGAACAGTGTGTTTCTTTTGTGGTCCTAGAGATAATAACTTCCCTTGCCAGATCCTAGGGATTAAAGATCAGCATCTGCAATTGTTTGGTTGAATTTTGGAGTAGGAATCTTGCATTCCTTCCAAAAAACCCCCTAGGAATTCAATCAATTTTCAGACCTGAAACACTTGAGTTTTTTTTAACCCCTTCTTTTTTGTTTTCTTCAGTGTTGCAGCTCCTTTGTTGAATTCTTTTTCCCCTCAACGTTTGATAATGTGCTATACCCAGGACACAGTTCTAAATAACCTCAAAGATAGAGTTAGGGCTGGATTTCAAGCAAAATTTTTAATGAACTTTTAGAGGGGCCCCCTTTTATCTTTCATGTCAGCTATGCTGGAAAATAATTTAATGATAGCTAGGCCTTGTAGCTGCTTATCCAAGATCAACTCAGGTTATCTTGAGGACAAGATTGGGGGCGGGGGTGGGGGGCTGGCTTTGTAATTCTGGAGTACTAGAAGCGGTTACTCAAAATGAGCAAATTAAAAAACCAAACCCTGCAATCCAGTTGATTCTGACCTACAGAGACTCTGTAGGACAGAGTAGAACTGCCCCTTTGGGTTTTGAGGCTGAGCAAGAAGCGTCATCCTTTCCCCCTGGTGACCTTAAAGCAGTGGTTCTCAACCTTCCTAACCTCCGCCATTACAGTTCTTCATGTTGTGGTGACACTCAACCATAAAATTATTTTCGTTGCTACTTCATACCTGTAATTTTGTAACTGTTATGAATCGGGTGACCCCTGTGAAAGGGTTGCTCGACCCCCAAAGGGGTTGAAACCCACAGGTTGAGAAGCGCTGCCTTAAAGTTAGCATTAGAAGCCCAATCCTTAACTGACTATGTCACCGGGGCTCTTTGAAGGACCAATAGACCTGACAGTATCTCAAAACATAGTTATATTATTCTATTACTAGAAAAACTGACTTTAAGTTAGGAATCCAGTTTCCTTTTCTCTGAAAATTCTTGAACAAAAGAAATACTTTTTTCCCTAAGGTCAAGAATTAGAGTTTAATAGTACAGATTTATAGAATGACTGGTGCCTAGTACCACTTAACTATTCACACTTAACTATTTCTTTTGCTTGTTGATTCTTTCAAAACTGGTATATACCAACTTTTAAAATACTCAAAGTCTTGTGCATGCCACAAACTGTTGAAATTGAATTCAGAAGAGAAAGTCAGTACCTAAAATTAACAATACTGAGCCTAGGTGTCTTAACTAGTTCACCTAGGGAAACTAGCCCCATGTTAAATTATATAATTATATAACTGGGCATCTCGGCTGGATTGTGAAATGGGCCAGTCACCCACAAACTACTGACCATCCATAACCAAGCCCGATTGAAAGAAACGAGTTCGTAGAAATGGGATGATGCCGGCTCATCTTTCTCTTCCTACGCGTTAATTGATGACATTCTAAGCAAAACTATAATCCATGGTGTCAGAAGTCAAATCGTGGTTACCTTTGGATGGGGGGAAAACAATAATAGAGAGACACAAGGGATGGGTCTGGGGTGTTGGTAATGTTCTATGATTTGATCTGGATGGTAGTTACTGGTGTATTTACCTTGTAAATTTTAATTGAGCTATGTATGTATTGCAAATAACACTTAATCTACATGTTATACCTTCATTTTTAAAAAGACCAAAAAATTACATAAGAGTTTGTTTTTCGTTAGTTTCTTTGTAGTAGTGGATGTGATATTTTAGAAGAGGGTAACCAATCATTCAAAGCCAGTGAATTCTGGGAAAGAAAAAGAAGTTGCATTCTAGGTAATAAATTGATAAATCAGAGTCTTTAAAAAACTAGGGCCTCCACATGGAAGAAGCACACCAGCCTGTGTGATCACAAGGTGCCGAAGGGATCAGGTATCAGGCATCAAAGAACAAAAAATCATATCATTGTGTGCTCACCTTCCCATAAGCCAAGAGTGGTGAAGAAAGCTGATGGTGCCCAGCTATCAAAAGCTATAGCCTCTGGAGTCTTAAAGGCTTGAAAGTAAACAAGCAACCTCAGAAGCTACAAAACCCACATGGAAGAAGCACACCAGCCTATGTGATCACAAGGTGTCGAAGGGATCAGGTATCAGGCATCAAAGAACAGAAAATCAAATCATTGTGAATGAGGGAGTACAGATTGGGGAACCAAGACCCATCTGTAGGCAACTGAAGATCCCTTTGCAGAAGGGTCTTGGGGAGGAGATGAGCCAGTCAGGGTGCTGTGTAGCAACGATGAAACATACAACTTTCCTCTAGTTCCTAAATGCTTCCTCCCCACCCCACTATCATGATCCCAGTTTTACCTTACAAATCTTGCTAGACCAGAGGATGTACACTGGCACAGATAGGAACTAGAAACACAGGGAGTCCAGGACAGATGATCCCTTCAGGACCAGTGGTGAGAGTGGCGATACCAGGAGGGTGGAGGAGGGGGGTGGAATGGAAAGGGGGAACCGCTTACAAGGATCTACTTATAACCTCCTTCCTGGAGGATGGACAACAGAAAAGTGGGTGAGGGTAGACGTCAGACAGTAAGATATGACCAAATATTAATAATTCATAAATGATCAATAGTTCATTAGGGAGTAGAGAGCAGGGAGGGACGG